AAACAAAGGTTCAGCCCAGGAAAAAGTTAACTGACTTGCCTAAGGTGTGACTAGTAATGAGCATTCCTAGGGAAGTCTGACTCAGAAAGCTAATAAGCTAATGTTCTTTATATCAATTCTGTACATGAATCTGAGCCAATAAAAGACAAAGAGAACAGGCTGGATGCTTCCTCAAGCCTAGAGAATCAGAAATTATTCACGAGACTCTCTCCTCTCCACCAAAGAAATGTCTCCATATAATACGTACTTACCACTTTCGACCTTACGTGTAAACAGAGTGGACGATTGTGCGTCTGATGTGCCATCAGGATGCTGGGAAGGCCTTGGTCCACCCCCAACCCTCCTGCCTCATGCTGTAGTATTAAAAGAGCATCTCCTGGTACTTGGGGTTTCTCTTTCAGAGCTTCACCCATTAGCTCAAAGCTTTGATGCCGATTCAAATTCTCTCCCCCCCGGGAGGTGTAACACTTTAAACTGTCATCAGCCATTCACATTGTAGTTTTGACCTGGGGATTCAAAAGAGGAAAGGAGGACACTAGTGCCTGACTGGGGAGAGAAAATTTCCGAGAATAGAGCCGCTTGCCTGACAACCTTCACCCAAGAAAGGATGTAGCCTTAAGCTGGCCTTGCGCACAGCACTCTGCAAGGTGGGGTGTGTGACAGAATTTCGATTAGACACAATCGTCTTGTCCCAGATTCAGAAACCACCCCCCAAGAAGCCTGAAACCTCATCAAATCTGGGCTAAACTGTATACTTATTCCACTTAGAGATTCTACATTTATGTAATCTCCCTCCCCCAAGTCATTACTTACAGGGAAACTGTTTTAAGATAATTTTTTTTTATCCTGTTAGGAATAATCTTGTATTGAGAAAAACTTCTCTAAGTACCTATATCTGAAAAGTACACTTTACCGCTAACAGTCGGTGTTCAGTGCATCAAGCCTGTATCTCTTGCTCATTCTCTTTATCCACTCCCAGATTCGAATACCCTGTTTGTCGCTAGGGAGGCACCCCGGGAAGTTCTTATGACGGTCACACTTAAGGGGAGAGAATTAGTGCCGAGGCTTTTCCTCACAGAGAGAGCCGTAGGAGACCGATTAGGCAGCTGCATAATCTCTGGGTTGCCTTGCCCGCCTTGCTTTCCTCTGACAAAACAGGGAGCCACCTACAAAATGTTTCCAAGAAGGAAGGATTCAAGGGGTGTGCGTCAGAACTTCAGAAGGAAGGAAGATAATTTGATGTGATCTGGCTAGTGGTTGCCAAATGTCTTCATCTGATAGTGGACATTAGCAATAATATTTAGTGAAAAGACTCTCTTTGGAAAGTATGAGTTGATGTTTATTCCACGAGACTGTGACCTATCTGCATGACTCTGACTGTATACATTTAAAAGGATAGCATACATACAGTAATAAGAGGATGTGGGATTCTATTTTTCCCTTAGTTTAGAAATAAAATAGACCTTCGAAAAAAGGTGTTCTTATAAAGGAGAAAGAGCAGGGGTGCCTGGGTGGTGCAGTCGGTTAAGCGTCCGACTTCAGCCAGGTCACGATCTCGCGGTCCGTGAGTTCGAGCCCCACGTCGGGCTCTGGGCTGATGGCTCAGAGCCTGGAGCCTGTTTCCGATTCTGTGTCTCCCTCTCTCTCTGCTCCTCCCCCGTTCATGCTCTGTCTCTCTCTGTCCCAAAAATAAATAAACGTTGAAAAAAAAAATAAAGGAGAAATAGAGTAAATATGTTGTCTCCTAGTGTTTTGCCATAACCAGAAGGCCATCGTAACCATCGTAAAGGATGACTGCTTGGTATCTTTAAGGAACGTTTGGGAACACGTATCCAGTGGCAGAATTGTTAGGTAAACCTTGACATATTTACTGGATATTCTGTATCCATAATCAGTCGTTGATACTAATGAAGACTGTAGTAACAAGGAAACATGTTCTTATAAAAAGGAGAAAAGTTAGAACAATGTACAGAATTAGAATCATGTATATTTATGGCAACTATCAAAAATTTAAATACATGCTATGCTTAGAACTAATGAACAAACAAAAAATCAACTACTAGCATACAGACATGTTAAGGCCACTTTAGGGTGATGTGATTATGATTATGCCATTATTTTTCTTTTCCAAATTGTACATAACACGGTTATGTTATTTTGAAAAGTTAAAAGAAGGGCGCCTGGGTGGCTCATTCGGTTAAGCAGCCGACTTCGGCTCAGGTCATGATCTCACGGTCTGTGAGTTTGAGCCCCACGTCGGGCTCTGTGCTAACAGCTCAGAGCCTGGAGCCTGTTTCAGATTCTGTGTCTCCCTCTCTCTGACCCTCTTCCGTTCATGCTCTGTCTCTCTCTGTCGCAAAAATAAATAAACGTTAAAAAAAATTAAAAAAAAAAAAAAAAGAAAAGTTAAAAAGAGAGTTTTTTGCTACCGCGCGGAGAACATTGGAGAATCTAGATTTGTCAGTCCAATCAAATATATTTATCTTTGAATTATTTAAATATAATTAATATTACTTTTACTCAAGTTAACATATATCTCAGTATAGACTAGAGACTGAAGAAGGGATCATTTCAGATTGAAAGCTACTAGGCAATCAGTTTCTCTGCATGAACTGAGAATGAGCTGCATCTAATTTTGAATGGCATTTATCCTACTAGGATTTTAGAAGCTTTCTTGGCACTTAATATAGCAGGAGCAAGCAGTTCATTAAGTAAATGTATTCCGGAAGGTTAAAGATGAAGGTGTGAAGATATTTTTCTTGCTTTTGTGGTTTTTTTTTATTTTTATTTTTGTATCCTTCATGTTTCTTTTTCATGTCTTCATATTTTGACCCCGGATTGTGAAATTAGTTCATTGTGCTGTAAGACATCTAGGATGTATGGAGACACAGTTTCAAGACGTTACAGCTACCATGTCAACATCATTACAAGGGCTGTTGTAATGTTGTCACTGTTCTCTGTTGGTTGGTTTGAATTCCAGCTTGTTTGCATCTGGCCTTTGAATACTTCCCTCTCAGAAATTAGTGACATGGGCCATGGGTGGGGCATTCAGGCTTGTACCTGACTCACCGTTTTACTGAGTAATGGGAAAAATACAGACAGGACAGTCCATTAATCGACATCCAGTCATTTTCAAAATACAGATGGAATGTTCAATGGGAATCCTTAGTTGAAAGAGAAAATAATGCATGAAGAGTGAGATCATTCTCAGTTATTAGGGAATTTAATTCTACTCCCCTTCTTGATAGCTAAGTGACTGATCACTTAATTTCTGAACCTTGGTTTTTCCTAAGACTCTTCTCCGCTATGGGTTCCAAATAAGGCAGCATTTTCTCAAAGGCTAAAAATACCTCCCAAGCGCAATTAAAATGGATTCTGGGTGTGCTGGTCCTTGAAACGGGGGAGGAAGAGGGATGGGAGAAAAGTAGAGAGCAGAAAGGTGGGAAAAGGGTGAGGCCAAAATTATGAAACGACAGTCTTTCTTTTTCTCAAGATTTTGCTATTTAAGAATTACCAGTGACCTGCTCTGTCTTCATGTGCTGGGATCTTAAAAATCATAATGATCATCAAGACAACTTGAATATATACTTACTCCAAAAAACGAAAAATTAACTGCTCCAGTACATGAGGTAAAAAGTGGAGCTATATATCCTGCTCCAAGGTAAGATGATTTCAACACCTGTCCTCTAAAAGCTTATAAACTAATCAGAAAGAGTAGACAAAGTGGAGTAGGAGACAAGTAGCTGTCTGGAACTTTGATGGAAAATATGTTTATACGTAAATATTCAATATATATGTAAATATGAATAGATATATATTACATTATTATATTTTTCACTATTATTAAATATCACATTATATATACATTATATATACATTTTACATGTATATATATACATTATACATTATAATGTATATATATACATGTATATATATGTATACATATATGTATGTATATATGTATATGTATATATGTGTATATACACACACATATATATGTATGTGTGTGTATATATATGTATGTATATGTATATGTATGTATTTATATGTATATACACACATATATATATACATATCTACATTTATATATTCTACAGAAAAATGTGAAGGAATAGGCAACAGAACAAGGAGAAATACAGATGCGAGAGAAGAGAGATGGCAAATGTAGGGAGCTGGATAGGTAGCCAGACTCTGGAGTTTATTCTAGTGGCAAACGAGTGCTGGTTCCAACTTTCCCCTTTGACCTTCACAAACTGCTGCTCATAGTAACGCTTACTAGTAGCTTATTAGAAAATGATTTCTCTGTGGGGCACCCCAGTGGCTCAGTCAGTTGAGCATCCGGCTTCAGCTCAGGTCATGATCTCTCAGTTCATGGGTTCGAGTCCCACATCGGGCTCTGTGCTGGCAGCTCAGAGCCTGGAGCCTGCTTCGGATTCTGTGTCTCCCTCTCTCTCTCTACCCCTCCCCCGCTCGTGTTCTGTCTCCATTTTTCTCTCAAAAATAAATAAACATTAGGGGCGCCTGAGTGGCTCAGTCAGTTGAGCATCCGGCTTCAGCTCAGGGCATGATCTCGCAGTTTGTGGGTTGAGCCCCGCGTCAGGCTCTGTGCTGACAGCTCAGAGCCCGGAGCCTGTTTCAGATTCTGTGCCCCCCTCTCTCTCTGCCCCTCCCTTGCTTGTGTCCTCTCTCTCTCTCTCTCTCTCTCTCTCTCTCTCAAAAATAAGTAAACATTTAAAAAATAAATAAATAAACAAACAAACAAACATTTAAAAGAAATGATTACCGTGTGTTGGGCCCTTTGCTAACCACTTGTACGACACCATCTCCTTGAAGGCTTGTAACTACACTCAGGGGCAGGCGCTGGTCTTATCTCCCCGTAACAGGTGGATATCCTAAAAGTTTGAGTCACACAACAGGAAAGGGTAAATTGGGAGACGTACACTCTGACCCGGCTGACTCCCAAATCCATATGCTCTCACCTCTCAGGTTAAAAACATTTCACAAAAAGTCAAATACCTAAGTTTGTGGAAGATTATATCTCCATTTCACATGCAGAAGTTAAGTTGAGATAATCGTGGCAGAAAAGAACTCGCTGCTTTGGTTACTTTATACCTAAGGCAATTTCAGCTTTCAACTCAAGACTGGGTGTAGGGATATCATCGTGTCTTTTCGCCTCCATTCTCTTTGGGCCTGAAAAAGGTGACCTACCCTCAGTGAATTTTTGTCAAGTAAATAGTCTGTGTCACATCTCTGCTGCACTTTTATTTTGCTCGGTCCTATTTCCATTTTGTGATAAGAGGATGTTTTCACATCATGCATCGGTAAGTTTTATCTTTTGTAGAAAATCCTCAGTCTTGTTATTTGGGTTTGAAAATAAAGAAAAACAGCCGTTTTGATGATTTTTTCCCTAACGTAACAGAGTCAAGAATTCTGGTTTGGCATCAGGACTTGCAATCCTAGTTGTTAAAGTTTCTAACAGCGGAGCCTGAAGCAAAGCTCGGAAGCTCTTTGCATTTGGGTTTCCTTCGACTTTGTCATTTTGACTTTGACTTTGTCTTTTATGGCCCTGACCGCCATGCACCTCCCTGCTTCCTGCTTGGCACGCGGCCTGTCCACAGTTAGCTCTTTTTTCTCACTCGCTCCCTCCTTCTATCTCAGATAATTTTTGAGGAATTAAGAGAAAGACAATTCTGATTTTAGAAAAACTGTCACATTTCGTAGATGCAAATATGGTCTACTTCAAGATTTA